CACTGTCTGACGCGTCTGCCTCCGCGACCCGAAAGGAGAAGCGGCGATGGAAGATGAAGAAGAAGATGATGAAGTAAGAAGAGATTTCGTCACGCTTTCTTTGCATTTTAATAAGTAAATTCTGCAGTCCTCAGGAAATTTCTGTACACCACAGTTCCAGGGGGACCTGCCATGGCCATGGGTGAATTTCTTGTTAGTCTAAACACGCGAGCCACAGGAAAGGTAGACAGACGACACAGGTTCGATTCTGTGATATACGAACATAAGAGTAGCATGTGATGCGTGCTGTGTACGAAGACTACCAGCAACAGCAGCGAGTTAGTGCATATATGAACTAACCCGAGACATGTGCAAATTTCGCTTTGACGCATGGTAGTCGTTTCGTGACAAGAAGGAAAAACTGCCGAAGAGGACAGGTGGCTGTGTCTGAGGTCAGTGAGGAAAACCCTGAGCGAGTCAAGCCTCCCAGAGTCGTCACGTGAATCCGCATTCGGCTAGGAACACACGTTCACGTTCTGCCCAAGACGCCTGGCAATCGTTGACAGGTTGACAGTAACCAACTTGACGTGCTATTTTGCATTACCTCTGCAAAGACCAAATGCCGCTACGATCATCTACTGAACTCATTAGGAAATTAATCATAAATGGCAATGCGGCTATGACGATGGTCAGGGCATGGGACATATTGCTTCTGAACGTTCGCTCGCGAAATTCGGTAGCAGGGTGACTGGTATCCGGGATATCACCCACAGGTCGTAAGAAAGAAAAGAAGCGGAAGGTTTTCAACGGCTTGGATGCCGGTTTCCGTTGCAGTACTGGAAGACTGGACGCCATCTGTGATGCCCTCCATTCGATGAAACTTATGGTGAGACGTTGATTTTCGCTTCTGCCATCAGCCGGGAGCGTTTTATACGGCAAGCAACATGCACGAGATGCCCGTTTTGCTTTTTTCGACCAGTGGTGACCTCGGAATGAATCAAAGGCAAGTGGCAGGTTCGGGCTCGATCTCATTACCTGCCGACAGTGAGTTCAACGTTCTTCCTAGTGAACAATCCCTGCCCTGTTCTCAACTGCGTAGAAATTCTTACGGCTCCATCTAACGTTGCTAGTTATATCTCCAGCCATACCATGCTGCCCCCTCCACGCTGATG